GGAGGAGGGAGAAATATGGGTATATTGTGTCACATAGTTACGAGGTCTGTCTCATAATAAAGTTTCCCTCCTCCATAAAATCAAAAGTAAGCAACCAACAGCCACTAAATTTTTTGATGTCATGACATCATGTCTAAGAAATCTCAACGCCCAATTGCAAGTGCATTGATGAACGAGTCATAGAGCTGTGACGTGTCAAGTGTGGTGTTCTTGTGCACTTTGTCCAAGGCAAAATCGAGGAAAATTGCTGAGCAAAATATTGGTGCAACCTTCTCATGCTACGATGTCCGAATTGTGATGAAATGTTCAACTCTTCTCGGCAAGTCTGCCGTTGAAACCCATGGTGATCTTTACAAAGTAATAGGAAATAATGCCCTACAAATTCAAACAGTCAGGAAATTGATAAGGGGAGTTGCAGGTGGGAGGTCTGACAGAAAGATGAAGCGTACACAGAAAACACGGGGAGGAAAAGTGATGCACATTGGTTTTTCAACGTGAGTGGCATCATCTAGTCACACAAGGTGTAGCTGTCAATGGTGGCTACTACAGGTTCGTCCTCAAAGACAAGCTGAGAGCTGCGATCCGGAAAAAGAGCCGCTTTGTTTGAAGAAGGCGTCACCCTGCACCATGACAACGCGTCTGTTCACAAGTCCAGAGTTGTGCACGAGTTTCTAGTGGGCTGCTCCTGGCAATTCTTGGAACACCCGCCCTATTCGCCCGATCTCGCCCCAGGCAACTTCCACCTCTTCCCCAAGGTGAAAAAATTAATGCTGCGTGGTCGACCGAGTTGAGAACAAGGACCAGATTCAAGAGGCTTTGAGAAAAGTACTCGGTACCTTGGACAAACGATCACTGACCAATGTATTTGACCGCTGGGAACATCGAATGGAGAAATGTCTTGAATTTGATGGTTCCCTACGTTGAATAGGTATTTGAATAAGCTTTCTGTTGATACCAAATACATGTACGTGTACACGGAGATTTATAATTGTATGTGAGGACAGCTTGACGGGGAAACTATATTTTGAGACACACCTCGTACATAGGTAGCCTTGTGGGCAGTTACACAGGAACTCCATCTGGGGGGAGGGGGGAGTGGAGGAAATAATGGCACTAACCTCACAGACTCTGTCCGTTGATCTGACGACATCCACGTAGATCTTAGCACACACGCTCACCCCGGCTAGTGTCTCTGTCACACACACTGACACACACACTGACACATACCTCACAGACTCTGTCCGTTGATCTGACGACATCCACGTAGATCTTAGCACACACGCTCACCCCGGCTAGTGTCTCTGTCACACACACTGACACACACACTGACACACACACTGACACACACACTGACACATACCTCATAGACCCTGTCCGTTGATCTGGCAACATCCACGTAGATCTTGGCACACACGCTCACCCCGGCTAGTGTCTCTGTCACACACACTGACAC